TCTATAACAGTGAAAAAAGTTTTTTGTTTTTAAATCCAAGCTATTGTGACACCAGATGTAATTGGTGGCACTGACTGGGAAAATGGGCACTGTGAGCCTGACACAGAAGCTGGCAGCAGTGGCAGACAACTAAGTGCATTTACATTACATAGAAAAATAAAAAAAAAAAAAGCATACCCTTATCCCTAACCTAGCTATGCTTTTCCCTATCTTATGAACAGCAGCTACACTTTCCCTCCTCTTACTAAGCATGCAGCTTGAGAATGAATCTAAAATGGATGCTGTCCAGTAGGTGGGAGGGTCTGCTAGGGAGGCTGTGCTGCTAATTGGCTGGAATGTGTCTGCTGACTGTGAGGTACAGGGTCAAAGTTTACTCAATGATGACGAATAGGGGGCGGGTCGAACCGCGCATATGTTCGCCCGCCGTGGCGAACGCGAACATGCTGTGTTCGCCAGGAACCGTTCTCCGGCGAACCGTTCGGTACATCACTAGCCGTAACCCCTAAAGTTCTCAGTACATGTATTCTTAAATTGTGATGTGTGTCAAAAAAAATCACCAATTTTCTTTTTTTGACATAGATTGGTGGTAAAATGGTTGCATGAAAAGAGCATGAAAAGAGTCAAAATACCCCAAGTTTAATGCCTTAGGTTGTCTTGTTTTAAAAAAATATTTACTTGTGAAGGGTTATTCAGGGATTCCTGACATATATCAGTGTTACAATATAACGTGCGTTCATTTTGAAAAAAAATGGTTTGGAAATAGCAAAGTGCTACTTGTACTTATTGCCCTATAACTTTCCAAAATAAAAAAGCTAAGAACATGTTAACATTGGGTATTTCTAAACTCAGAACACAATTTAGAAACTATTTAGCACAGGTGTTTTTTGGCGGTTGTAGATTCGAAATCATATTTTAATTTTTTTATAGCAAATTATATAATATGATGAAAATAATGGTATCTTTAGAAAGACCATTTAAAGGCAAGAAAAACAGTATATAATATGTGTGGGTACAGTAAACAAGTAAGAGGAAAATTACAGCTAAACACAAACACCGCAGAAATGTAAAAACAGCCCTGGTCCCAAACGGTAAGAAAATTGAAATGTGGTCTGGTGACTAAGGGGTTTAAAAAAAATAATAAAAAATATATATATATATATTTATATAGTGTAGATTGGATTAGCCGTATTTGTCCAGAAGACAAGATGCCAAAATACCAGAGTATTGCAGTATGCAATGATACCTTTTTTATTGGACTAACATAATATTTCAAAGTCAAGCTTTCAAGAGTTCAGATTGATTAGTATTGCTTCAGACCTGAGGAAGAGAGGAAAGCTCTTGAAAGCTTGTTTTTGAAATATCATGTTAGTCCAAAAAAAGGTATCATTGCATACTGCAATACTCTAGTATTTTGGCAACTTATATATATAGAAAAGAAAATTGAAAAATGGTTTGGTCACTAAGGGGTTAAACATGTCCCAAAGAATTTAACACATTATAAAAAAGAAAAACTCAAGAAAATGTTAAGGTTAATAATTACTGTGGTGAAACCGACCTCGCCACTGGGCATTGGAGAATACTGATTGCCAGCCTCCTGCCATGTGACTATGGCCCCTGGGATGTATTGCCCTTTAAAGACATTATTTGGGCTTATTGGATTTTGAAACACTTTTTCTGCCCCTTTGAATACATGAGAAGGTGTGCCCCTCCCCCGTTTCCTGTCTATTGTTCTCCAGCAGGGCGTTGTCCCAGGGACACTGCCAGACCAGTTGGAACTTGATGCTAGACTTAAACCCCAAAGCGATTTGACTGTGTTTGTGGGATCTTGGTGCTGTTTGGATATATTGAGCGCTCAGATCCAAGCCATCTGGGGATATGTTGAATGTACCTGTTTTATGCAATAGCTGCACAGTTATATATTTTTATGTATTTTATTGTATTTTGCTACCATGTGGCTAATAGAGTTTTGCCTCTGTCCTTGGAGATAATTGGATTACTTTCCAATTATTTCCAGAATAGAAGACTCTGTGGAACTGGTTTTGGGCAGAAAAGCCATGCTTCATTTGGTCACAAAGGACGTTGATCTAACTTTTGACCCACTGGACCACTTTGTATGATTTTGACGTATGTTGGTATTTGGAGTATGCTGATTCAGAAAATGTGAATGTGATGCATACTTTTAACGTTATGAATAGTGTGTAAAACTGTGTATTTTCCTGCCTGTGATAATTATATTAACCCATTGTTTAAAGTAATTGTATCACAGGCAGAGGGGAGGATTTTGTGTGGGAGTGTCTGAGTGTATTGTACGTGTTTATTGGTTGTTCTTCAAATCCCTGTGGGTGGTACTCAGGGCTCGAGTCCTGCAGGAACGCATGGGAACGGCGTTCCTGCACTTTTTCCATAGCAGGAACGCCGTTCCCGTTACCTGTCCTGCAGGACCGGCCCTGGTCCCTGCACTGAGGGGCCGTCACATGCTGTGTTCATTCTCCAGTTATAACTCTCGCGAGACCCGCTGCTGTTACCATGGCAACGCTCCGCACAGGCGAGTCTCGCGAGAGTTAGAGCTGGAGAGGGAACACTGCGTGATGGCCCCTCCAGCATACCACCGGACCACCAGGCGATCTCCCCCCTCCCTGACAAGGTAAGAAGCAGGGAGGGGGGAATAAAATAAAATAAAATATAAAGTTAAAAAAAAATCCTCCCCCCCCCCACACACATCATCCAGCACTCACACAAACACCCATCATCCAGCACTCACACAAACACCCATCATCCAGCACTCACACAAACACCCATCATCCAGCACTCACGCACCCATCATCCAGCACTCACACACACATCATCCAGCACTCACACAAACACCCATCATCCAGCACACACACACACATCATCCCACACACACACCCATCATCCAGCACACACACAAACACCCATCATCCAGCACTCACACACACATCATCCCACACACACACACATCATCCAGCACACACACCCATCATCCAGCACACACACAAACACCCATCATCCAGCACTCACACAAACACCCATCATCCAGCACTCACACAAACACCCATCATCCAGCACTCACACACACACCCATCATCCAGCACTCGCACCCATCATCAGCACTCACACAAACACCCATCATCCAGCACACACACACATGCACTCACACAAACACCCATCATCCAGCACTCACACCAGGCACCCATCATCCAGCACTCACACAAACACCCATCATCCAGCACTCACACAAACACCCATCATCCAGCACACACACACCCATCACCCAGCACACACACACACACACCCATCATCCAGCACACACACACACACATCATCCAGCACGCGCACACACACGCACACATCATCCAGCACGCACACACACACCCATCATCCAGCACTCACACACCCATCATCCAGCACACACACACCCATCATCCAGCACTCACACACCCATCATCCAGCACTCACACACCCATCATCCAGCACACACACACCCATCATCCAGCACTCACACACCCATCATCCAGCACACACACACCCATCATCCAGCACTCACACACCCATCATCCAGCACACACACACCCATCATCCAGCACACACACACACACACACCTATCATCCAGCACTCACACACCCATCATCCAGTACTCCCACACCCATCATCCAGCACTCACACACACACACCCATCATCCAGCACTCACACACCCATCATACACACAACCACATCATCCAGCACTCACACACCCATCATCCAGCACACACATCATCCAGCACTCACACACCCATCATCCAGCACACACATCATTCAGCACTCACACACCCATCATCCAGCACTCACACACCCATCATCCAGCGCACACACCCATCATCCATCACTCACTCAAACACACATCATCCATCACTCACTCAAACACACATCATCCAGCACTCACAAACACACACATCATCCAGCACTCACACACACACACACATCATCCAGCACTCACACACACACACATCATTCAGCACACACACACACACACACATCATTCAGCACACACACACACATCATCCAGCACTCACACACACGTCATCCAGCGCGCACACACACGTCATCCAGCGCGCACACACACGTCATCCAGCGCGCACACACACGTCATCCAGCGCGCACACACACATCATCCAGCACACGCTGCATTCATTATACACACTCTTCACTCACTACAAACACACTACATTCACTATACACCCTCTGCATTCACTATACACATTCTGCACTCACTACACACTACATTCACTATACACACTCTGCATTCACTACAAAAACACTACATACACTGCATTCATTGTACACACTCTGCACTCACTACAAACACACTAAATTCATTATACACAATTTGCACTTACTACAAACACACCACATTCATTATACACACTCTGCGCTCACTACAAAAACACTACATTCACTATGCACACTGCATTCACTACAAACACACTACATTCATTATACACACTGCACTCACTACAAACACATTACATTTATTATACACACTGCACTGCACTACAAATACACTACATTCATTATACACACTCTGCACTCACTAAAAACACACTGCATTCATTATACACACTCTGCACTCACTACAAATACACTACAATTATTATTCACACTGCACTCACTGCAAACACACTACATTTATTATTCATACTCTGCATTCACTACAAACACACTACCTTCATTATACACACCCTGCACTGCACTATATGCATAGGAGTGTAATTTTTTTTAAGGGGGTGGGGGGGGAGGCGGGAATCTTGGGTGAGTTCCCACACCTTTTTCCCCAGGACTTGACACCTGGGTTGGGGTACATGCACATGCTAGGAACCAGTGAGGGGAAAACAAAAAAACAATCTTTAGAACAGGACTGCCAGGGGTAAGCAGGAAAGCTTCTCCTTGCAGTAACAATTAATGCAAGAGAGAATCTGACCATGTCTGTCGCCAGCATGCTGTGTACTGATGACAAACTTATTTTTAGATAGAATTACAATTGTTTTTTGTTAGAATTAACAGAGAGTTCTGGGCTGCCTGAGTCATGTTTGCCGGGGGTATAACTGGCCAAGGCACACAAGTCCAAATATCTCTGGATGTTCAGCACTTCAAGCAGAAACACTGCACACACAGATACAGACTTGTATCACCATGACTACTTCTAAAAGCAGAGGTGGTCATGGTGGTTGGAGTAAGCCTTTAAGCAGTGAGTTAGATGTGTCAGATACACATTGAAGTATGTAGCATGGGATAGTGGTGGTAAACCTGGGGTCATGGGTACCACTTCGGGTACCTACAGGCTAGACACCAATCCAGGAAACCTAATTTAATGTGAGTTAAGAAACTTAAAGGTTATCCGGTACCTACAACTTGCACTTTTGAAAGATTGACTACCAAATGTATAGCTTGGAAGAAACCTCTATTTAAAAATAAAATTATCTCATTTGCTGTGTTAATTTCAGTGAAGTTGTGTGTTGTGTCCAGACACCAAACTAGACGAAAACTGAACAAAAACTGAGAGAGACGAGTTATGGCCACATGTTTACAGTTGGCACTGGGAGTTTTGGACATAAGGATAACTTTAATTTTATGTTGTATCTTTTTTTCAAAAATGTTAGTAAAATGCATTGAAAAATATGGGGTTCTTTTTTTTTTAATCAATAGTTTCCCCTTAAGGATAAGTGATTGTCTATGTAATAAAAATGAAGTCATTGTAGACCCCATGTTTCAAATGGACTACAGTGTCATGACGCCAAATGAGCTTTAAAGGGATAACACACCCACAAGTAAAATGTTATCCTGGGACAAACTCATCACCCTTGTACAAGACGTAAATACAGAAGTTCTCTATAATTTACTGAAACTGGGTTTAACCCTTTGAGTGCCAGAGGTGGCCCCACATATTGTTTTGTAATGTACTGGTCACATCTCTAGCACCCAAAGGGTTAAACTCAAATTTCATAAATCCCATACTATTCATGTTCCCCGTTTTACCCCTCCCTTGCATGTACTAAAGAGAAGTACACAAAGAATGCAACCAACAACAGAAATCAGGAGATGCTTTTTAATAGTATATAAATTATATTTAGTTATATATACCGGTATATGAAATATATGCTATATAAATGAAGTATAAGTAATAAACCTTTATAGATAGATAAACAATATTTTCTGTAGTTAAATAATTTATATTTACAAATCCACAAAATAATACAAAAATTAGAAAAGCATGTATTGTATAACAAAAGAATTTAACAGAATTGTTGCGGCTGGACTCCCGTTGGCTGAAACGATGTCCAAAGATCTTTTTCTGGAAGATCATCCCACATGTCATCTATGAAGTTCTAGAAGAGTAAAGATAAGATATGTTAGAACATGCATATTGGATATAGATCTAAATGCATTGCGAGCATTGCTGTATTCTATTGTTATCACTGCAGATATGAAACCTTAGGCAGGATCCCCAAACTAAGACAGTTGTGGCTGACCTTTAACACAACAGGTTCCGTTACACCACCAGGAGCAGAGGGCTAAACTCTGTATATGCAGCTTTTCATAGTTCCGCATGCAGACTCCGGGCACCATGACCACTTCAAATCAGTGAAGTGTTTATAGTGCTTAGAGTAACCCTTTACAGAGATAACAAAATACTTGTTTTAAAAATCTGCAGGATTATATGAGCAATTGAATTGAGGTAAATGGAAAATCAGATTTGCTAAATTTAGGCCAAAATCAGCAATTTGGCAAAAATGCTGAACTGAAGAATTTTCCTACGGTTCCAGCCAATTATATTGTATTAACTTTTAGAGTATACTGAGTATACTTAATATGTTCTGAGTTGAATGAACTCATCCTTCCCCCTCTCCACAAAAAAAAAAAAGTATATGTTGCAACATTTCCTTAGATATACAGGATAGAATAAACCAGGTTAGACTATTTTGTAGACAGCAAAAATAAAGTTATCAAAATAGGGTGCCAAAATGATAAAATAATAGTATGGAATGGAATGGAATTTGCACCTGTATGAAGCAAAACTACTGTGCAAGAACAGCGTCGCTATAGCAACGTGACCATGCATGAAGCAACATTGTATAAAATTCAGAAGTCTGGACGAGAACTAGAGGAAACTGGAATCCTACACTCAAAGCAACATGAATGTTTGCAACAAGTTAATATCCATCTACCCCTCCAATCATACATGTCTGACAGCTGTTCTAGAATGAATCAGTGCTAGTATAAAGTTATAGATATATACATAGATATAGAAAGTTAATGAGAGAAATAGTATATTGTACATACCGAACAAAAGCCCAGGTCTGGAGAGACAGGTGAAGGAGCAGTGAATCCACCCTTGGTGTCCATGTATGTTGTTCCATGGGCTGGCCTGCCTTTTAGTGCACAGGGAGAAAATATCATTGGCTCTGCTGCTGTCATGGCCGGAGCTTCACATTCATAAGCCTGTGGGACAGCCGTCTTCAGTTCTCTGTCCATTTGGCCAAGGCCTGTGTGGTTTTGAAGTGGTGCTGGTGAGTAGGACAGGTAGGATGGGGTGGCAGTGGCTGGGAGCATGTCTCTAGATTCTGGGCAAATGGCATGCATGCTGCCTTGGCAACAGCTCAGACCAACTGGGCACATGTTAGAGCCCCTAATGGCTTCTTCCCTTCTCCTCACCAGGGCCTCCTCATCAAGTCCTAGAACCTCTGAAAGATGGGCAATGTAGCGGATGGTGAGCCTTAGAGTCTCAATCTTTGTTAGGTTTTTCCCAGGTGGGGCCACTGCTGGAGGTAAGTATCTTCTAACGTGCTGAAGGGCAGTAGAGAGATTCCTCATCCTCATCTTCTCCCTCTCACTTGCATTCTGCCTCTGGCCACACATAAACCTCTTCTTCATGCTCTTCTTTGGAGCTAGATTCCTGGTTCTTGACTGCATGTCTGTCTGAGGCAGAGCTGTGTTACAACTCGTGGACATCTCTTTAGGGAAAGCATAGGACCCATATGGAGGTGAGAAGCTGGAAGAATCTGTGGAAGACGCTGGGGACAGGCTGCAGTAGCCTTCAGAATCAGGGTATCCCCATTGCTGCTGTGAGTTCCACCCTGGGGACTCGGTAATATCCTTTAGATGTAGCTGTGCTGGAGAGAAGTCCATGTCTCTGGGTATCTGTGCTTGTCTTGTCAGTCACTGGTGAATGCTGAAAGCCACAGAGCAGCCCTGCCTTTATACTGCTTCCAGAGGTGTGAATTGTCACCTTCACTGTCATCAGAAATGCATCAAGGTTTCATGGGAGAGAGCAGGGGGTCCTTGGGAAAAAGATTCCCAGAGTTGGAAGTGTGCATTTTCACCCTTCAGAAAATTACCTAAAATAAGGAATGTAGAGGTCACTGCAGCCATGTATGGAAACTATGGGAATGAGATGTATTTTCATTTCATTTGGTTACATATGGAATATATATATTCCTCTCCCCAGACAGTATATATATCACACAAAGAGTTTTAATATAAATAATTAAACACATCAATATAAACTATGAATTTATTAATATACTTGTACATCATTTACTTTTTTTATTCATGACATTACATGTATTTTTATACATCTATGGTCTTATATGAGCAATTGAATTGAGTAAAATGGAAAATCAGATTTGCAAAAGTAGGCCAAAATAACAAATGTATTTATTCTTATTGACATATCCTCCAAAGATATCTTATCATTGCATTTACACATTTCCAGACTTGTTGTTGACCAGTTTAAGTTGTTGACCTCTTTATATAAAAACTATATGTGGGGTTTATATATATTTGTGCTTTGGTAGAACTGCAGAGATTGACGGAGGCTGATAATCCCATTTTTTCAGACAGTGGTGATATTGTAATGTTTATATACATTGCTTTAGGTTATTCCATTGCTGCAATTATTGCACTACATATCCTGGATCTGATAAAGTGGCAATAGCTGGATGCTAATTTTATCAATTTAAATGTTTATTGTTTTTTTTATTTGTATTCTAATTTATGTTCTTTTTATGCAGAGTAACACAAGAGTTGGCCCTTGTCATCTATTCACGTTTTAATAAATATATCCAATAATATTGATGTGCAATGACATGAAATTCAGAGGGAAATCACCTATTTTGGACTACATTTTGCAATTTTGTTTTCAATAACCAACTAGTATATGCCCTCTGGGACGTGGCCTTTTTTAGGGAGGTAATTCTTACTAAGGTAAGACATAAAGGTGAATTGGAAATGAGTTTAAAATAAAAGGCCAAATAGCCAAACTGGACAAATTCTCCCAGTTATTGGGACTATGCTTCCATTTCAGCTATTCTGGCCTTAAATTTGAAATTCAGTTTGAATTCTCACTCTGGTAAATAACCCTGTAAAACTGACACAGATGACATCCAATATATAGGAGCAGTGGTTTACAGACCATTAGTGGACCAAAGTGTTCTTCAAGGTGCTTCTAAGCATGATAAAAGGTGCACCCAGATAATTATGTACCTTTAGTATACACTAATGTTAGACTTATTCACTAAAGTGCAAATTATCATTAATACTTAATGAATTAAAAATTTCAAATAGCCAAACTAGCTGGAATTAATACATAGTTTGTTGGGATATTTATTTTTATTTTTTATCAATTTGGCTATATTGGCCTAAAATTTAAACTCATTTTTAATTTCTTACAATTCACTCTTTAGTGAATGACTTTGTATGAGTGTGTGTATAAGGTAGAAAGTGTGAACAAAAAAAAAGGTCTTGTGAGGTTTTGTATTACATTTAAACAAATACTGGATTTGTTTTATTTTTGACAAACGCAAATGGCACAAATTGGTTAGTTAAACTCTGATATGCCTAATTTTTTTTCAAACTGGTCCCCAGATGAGAACAACGTAGTTAGATTTAGTTCCCATAGTAAGACACAGTATGTGAAATCTATTCATAAATGATACAGGTTTCCGTAAAGAGTTTAACAGCTGTCTCTCTTATGGTACATTTGGCTGACCTGAGCAAGAGTGATTCCCTCGAACATTTGTATGCGAAGTGTGCCAAAAGGCGACAAATTTTGTCACCTTCAACAAGATTCCCTGTGAGCACTTGTTTTTTCTTAATAAAGTCATCACTATATTTACTTTTAACGATTTTCCCAATAGAAGGAACAGACTATACCGTGTCCTTTTAAACCCTAAAGTTATTATCACAGTCTTTATATTATACAAACAAGTAGTTTGTGGATTCCTTGGAGTCAGTTCTAGAGAAAGTAACTCAATTCCTTTGATGGCATTTTGAAAATAGGATATATTCAGATTCACAGTTTAATACTTGTTTTATATAAATTGCTTCATACTGTATGATTTATTTCCTCTGTATTCCACTAAATTGACTTGACAGTTTACATTCGAAGCAGTGTTACCTGTGTGGGGAATAAGGCGGAATAAATTATTTTATTGTAGAATAAGCAGGCCATTGATAAAAAAAAAAAAAAAAAAAATGGGGCTTGGCCAGGGATGTCATATATACATATGGAGTAAAATACGCTCATCAGGTTACCATTCATGAACATTTAGTGGATAACCCTGAATGTTTCTCAAATTAAAATTTGTTTGTAATTTATGCTATACAGATTTACGTATGTCAATATTGCAGTGATTATGTAAATAAATGTTGATATAAATTAAAGATTAATATAATGTAGATACTAATGCAAATCATTTATATTTAGATACATGTATTCATCTATTATATAGCATATACATTATGCATATACACATGACCCCTGTCAGAGGAAGTGAGCTTTGCAATGATCTATGATTGGGAATAATATAAAATAGGTGAAAAATAAATACATAATACGGAAACATAAATTGCTGCATATGAATATGTTGCAGAAATAGGATTATAGACAATGTAAATAATTCTATGAGGGTGATTGGCTATAATAATAGATATAAATTTGCAGAAAGAGATACAAAACTTTAACTGGTGGGAGATTTGATGTTTTCTGCTTGACCCAGTGTTTTTTTTGGGGTGGAATAAAAAGTAAAGCGTTGAGTGTAAATCTGGGGTTACAGAGGGGTGGGGAGCTGGAATGAGTACGTTGCTCAGGTAGTGTGGGTGATCTCTGAAGAGGGTGTTATAATATGTTAAGAAAGGTGAAGGGAATCCCTCAATTAAAGGGACAATGAGAAATTCTATGTATCTAATTTTTACAGAGATGTATTTGTGATGCAATGGCTCCTACTACTTGTCTGTGACTGGTTTTATAATTGACTCACAATCTATCTCCTTATTAGGATATTTAAACAGAACGTGTCTAAACTATAAGTATCACTAATGATGGGTAGAACGTGCCCACTGAAGTCATTTAAAAAACACATGTCATTGTTACATTGTATCACAGCATTTTCCAGTAACTCTGTTCTATTTCTCTCATGTTGGAAGTGTGACCACTTCACACTTCACAAAGCCCAGTGTTTATGCAAGTGGCAAAAGCTTTTCATGACATCTGCACCTTCTCTGCTGAGGACCAAGGTGTGATCTTGGGAAAGTGAAGTCTTGTTGACTAAGTTACCCCTCATGCCCTTCCATGAGACTGCATCCCGTACTCTGGAGCTGACCTGCTTGAACCCATTTAGCACATTAAAAAAATCCAAAAACTATGTGATAGAAGACAAGTAGTGACAGCACAAACCAAAGTGAACATTATGTAGTAAAATAATGAAAACTCTGCCTAATTCCTATGAAAAACATACATTTTAGGCTAGGACATGCCTTTATACCTCTATATATAAATCGCAAGCTATAGATTTTTCCGTTTTATGACTCTTCATATACATTTCTATGCATAACTTTCACTATTTTAGAGACCATTTCCTTAAGTTAAAAAGGTGCTACATAATAAGATGATCAATTCTAATATATATTTATAAATGAGATTACATAGCACCCATTGTACAGCGCTACAGAATCTGATGGCGCTATATCAATAATAAAATAATAATAATAATAATAGCTGTGTTTATTTTGACTGAGCTGAACACTTTGTAACTCACAGTAGTGCTGACCGAATAAAAACTATTCAATATTTATTTATATGCAAAAAAAATAATATTGTTGAGGCAATTGCTCAAATGTAGTAGATGCAGCTAAATGCAATATGTCACTAAGATTTACACAATATATTTGAATAATTAATTAACATTAACCACTATTGTGGTTTTATGTTTTGTCAAACATTGCTGCTTGATTTACTGAATATGACAGAATAAACTATAGGGCAATCATCCTCATTATAACTTTATATAATAATGCTTTAAAAATATGAAATTGTGTAATGTTCAATAATGTTGTGTATGTCTTATTAATTTCACCCTGTCGCCAAGTGTCACAAAAGGGAGTAGCATTTGGAAATTTAAAAATCTACTTCAAAAAGGCAGATTTAAAACATCTCCTATAAGCAGTACAACACTATAATGATTAAGATGAGGCCTTAAGACTTCACTAAGTTACATATGGAGATTGAATTTAGGGTTATGAAGGACGTTTAGAGTTAGAGGACTTAGGGTTAGACTTGCAGTAGAAATAATATGTATGTGTAATGTGGGTACACTGTATGGCTGCATATGTTTGTGCAATGTTTTATGTAATTGCATATATATGTATGTGTGTGTTTGTTTGGGTGTGTATGTGTGATGTACCTGAAATTGAATACGCATTCATTACATGCCCTAGTGTCTGGTATTGCAGACTCACCAATCAGGTGAGCTGCAGTACCTGGTGTCTATGTCCATGTCAGGTCCCTCTATTGCTACATTGCTATAAGATGGGGGTGGGCACGTGGGGTGAGTTCCATGCTAATGTCAGGGATTATGCTAAATGGAATGGAATGGAAGTACTTCTGATTCGCCGTGTGGAAGCGCCCCGATCAGGCACCACGTGCTGCAGGAGGGAGAGGTTACTTACCTCCACAGCGCCTCCCCCTCCGAGCGGCATCTGGTGTAGCGGCCGTGTCCAACATTATGGACGCCGACTGCTTCAGTCCCGCACTACTAAATAGCGCCGCCCCCAAAAACATCATAAGTGATGTAAACGTGCGTGCGGCATCACGTTTTCGAAGCACACGCACGTTTTAGGGTCATAGGTCC